TATATATATATATATATATAAACTGAAAGTTGATTCCAAAATTTGTAATGCAATCATTCACACCTTCATCTGTAAGTTTTCTGTGCATAGTTTTATAATTATCATAAGATCAATTCTGATAGATGAAATTAATGCCAAATCTTGAAGAAGAAGGATAAAGTTGAGGGTTTACACTACCAAATACCAAAAGTCATTGTAAGACTGTGTTATTTAAGGAAGCATGATATTGGCATAAGAGTAGATACCTGGATCAATGGAGTAGAATAGAGTCCAGAAACAGATCCAAGCACACATGGGCATTCAATTGATAAAAAAGGTGGTAGGTACTGCAGGGTGGTGGGGAAGGATTATATTTTTCTCTCAAAATGTTGCTGACTTTTTTTTTTAAAGAATCTGATTCTTAGCTCACATTATACATGAAAATAATTTTTAATTGGATTGTAAATTTAAATATGAAAGTTAAAGCAATAAAGATGTTAGGAAGAAAATAAGAGAAGGATATCTCCATGATGTAGGAATAGGGAAACATTTCTTGAACAATACCAAAAATTATAATAATAACCCACTAACCACAAATTAAAAGAATGAGATTCTAGGCTATATTATATTAGGAACCTTTGAATCAAAGGTGAGAGACTGAAAAAGCAAACTGCAGCATGGGAAAGAGATTATATTTATATAATACATATTCCTACATCTGGCAAGGGAGTTCCTATTTGGCATATAGAAAAGCCTTTACAAATCAGTTTTTAAAAGTCAGATTACCCAATAGGAAAATGGGCTAAAATTTTAAAGAGATACTTCAGGAAAGAGAATATTGAAGTAAACAATAAATATTTAAAAGTTGCTCAATGTGATTATTCACAAGCAGGGAAACAACACAATCTGTTTTCTCAACCATGATACTTTTGAGAGGGTAAAGTCAATTTATTAATAATGATTTGAGGAAAACAACTGAAACAGGACACAAGGTTACCGCCATCATCAGAGATGATTCATAGTACTTCTACTATCAGATACTACTACATATCTCCCAGAATTGTTAAAATTAACAAAACTAAATGAAACAAAATCCCACTGGCAATATCAAATGCTGATGATGCAAATCATCTGGAACTTCCATATGCTTCTGGTTGGAGAGTATATTGGTACAGGCACTTGGGAAAACTTGATTATATCTATCAAGGCAATTATGTGTATAACCTGGCGATTTCTATTATAAATATATACCCAACATGAATTCATTTAAATGTGCATCAAGTATGTATAAGAATATTCATAATCACACTATTTGTGATTAAACTGCAAACAACTCAATGTTCCTTAAGAATAGAATGAGTTAGCTACATTATAATCATTCAGTGGAATATGATTCTATTATGTAAACAACCGAAATTAATAATTCTTAAAAAATAATGTTATGTAAAAGAATCTAGACACAGAAGAATATACATTCATTGATTCCTTTTATACTAAGTTTAATGCAAGCACACTAGTTTACTGACTGTCTCTTGGGAGGAGAAAAGGGACATGGAGGTGGCTTAGGGGCTGGTGGTAATGTTCTATTTCTCGATCCCAGTAATGGTCACAGAGGTTATTTTTTTAAATCTATGAAGCTGTATACTTAAGAGTTTTGCACCTTTCTACGTGCATATTAATCTAAAAAAAACAATTTTGAAGATAAACTAACATATTGGTATCAACAATAGGAGCATTCAATTGATAAAAAAGGTGGTAGGTACTGCAGAGAGACAGTAGAACATTAAATAGGAGACATGTAGAACGTTAATTTATAAAAAAGGAAAGCCAAAGAGAAATGCACCAAATATAAAATTTAAGTGAGTAAGTTAACTTCCAATTTCAAATTTGTAAAATATTTTTAAAATATATGTAATTCATTACCATGAATGCTTAAAAATATCTTTTTATCTCAGTAACCATGAACCAAAACCTTGGCATCTCTTTCCTTCTATACTAATAGGATGACAGGTTGACCTTTCTCACTGGAAGCAAAGGTCCTACCAACTCACCAAGATCCTTTCAGTTTTAGGAGCTCCTTCCTTACCACTCAAATATGGAACATTGTTTTAAATGTAAATGGAGCTAGCTCCTGAGTGGTATTTGATGCTGATTATGATATCTGTCTAATTTCAATCTGTCATCTCCTGACCTTCTGACAGAAAGAACTCTGAATGCCTACATTTATTGTCTCTTTCTCCTTCCTTCTTTCTTATAATTTTACAATATTCATAATAATTTGGTAACAGTTCAAACATACTATTAAAAGTACTTTAGGCTCAAACATTCTTTCCAACAGTTGTGCCCAATCCCAGTGAACACTGACCACTGGTTTAATTAAAATTCTTTATTACTAAGAGCAGAATCGGTTTCCAGGATTCTTGCCTAGTGGTATGGTCATGACCACAATAGTCTTACCCCAGATCTCTATGGCTACAGGGATTGGGAGAGGTAATGTCGGTTTGGGTGTTTTTGTTGATTGGTATTTGGTTTGGATTTAATTCCCCTAGGATATTCATCATGCCATGTTAAATAAAAAGGACAGATGAGTGAGTGTATGCATTTAGAAAAATAGATGATAATGGAGCCAGAAGCTATTACATAGGCCTGTAATATCAGTGACTAGGAAGACTGAGGCAGGAGGATTGTGAGTTTGAGGTCAGCCTTGTGGGGGGAATATATATATACACACACACACACGCAGACAGAGTGTAAAAATAACCTTTTAATCTGTGGTTAATATTTAATTTTAATTAAGCACCTTTTTTTTTTTAATCCTAGGCTGACCAGATATCTGGTTTTCACATAAGATCAGTTCTCTGCGTCCCTATTTGGAATAGCAACCACCAAATAATTGGTAAGTATTATCCAAATAGTTATAATTTATTTTATTTTTATAAAAAAATAGAAATTTGCTTTTAAATACACCCATTTTTAAAAAAATGTTATCCCTTTTAATGTTCAGAATTCATCAAGCTATGTCTCATACTCTTGAACAATCTTGAAAGCACAGACTCCTAATGAATAGATATTAATCAGGTCATGAACAAATATTTATTAAGCTCAAATATTTATTAATCAAATAAATTTTGAAGTAGAAAGGGATCTCAGAAGCCAACTAACAGGACCCTTTTATCTTACCTTTCAGACATTGAAACCCAGAGAGAGAGAGAGAAACATAATGACTTGAGTCAGGTCACTAAGTTAGTTGGTAGCAGGATCAGGATGAAAACTCAGGCCTTCTAACTCCTAGTATAAATTTTCCCACTGTTTCTTCATGCTTATAACTGTGCTTTTACACATACTAAATGCAAATCAGAGAACATAATGGTATTAGACATATACTGAATGTGCATCTTTTTTTGCCTGGATGGTTCTGAAATAGGCCATGCAGACCCCTAGAATAAGGGAATTATAAGCAAAAGTCACTTCCAATTTTTTCTCCTGCTCTGATCATTCCCCACCCCCCCTTAAAATTTCAATCTGGAGAATATCAAACTTAATATAGAATCCCAGGCAAGAAGAGTTCATAGTTAAAGAAGTCATGAAGGATGGAGCTATTAGTTAAAATCATTCAAACACAATGAAAATGTGATTCTTTCCCCCTAAGAGACATAAGGTACATAGTGTGTTTGGTATTTAATGTATCTCTTTGCCTCTCTCTGTTTCTCCCTAAGATTGCCTGTTAAACTCTATGTAGCAAAGGATTTAGTATTCTGTAGTGTTTTCCAGACCTGAATTTTGAGAGTTTTTTTTTTTAATTAGATTGTTTAACTTGCACAGAAATTAATACATTATTGAACATAAAGAATATTCTAGAGTATGGGAATCTGAGCCCCTAAGACAAAGAGGGATGAACAGAGTTAAATATATTTATGTAAGGAAAAGGGAAAATCCATAAGAAACAGCATGTGTTATCTTTTGATTTGGTGGCAGTCTCACATGTAGTCCTACATTTCGATCCTAACAGCATCTGTTGTTATTACTTCAAAATTAGGACTGTTGTTTGTCTATTACATGCTAAAAATTTTGTGTTTCATTATATATGTTTTCTAGCATTTGATAAGTTGTCTCCTTGGTGGGAAATTGGTGTTCTAAAAACTACAAGCAAGTTGCTGGGCGTAGCAGTGCACACCTGTAATCCCAGCCACTCTGGAGGCTAAGGCAGGAGCCTCCCAAATTCAGAGCCAACCTGAACAACTTAGTGAGAGAGACACTGTCTTGAAATAAAATAAAAAGGGCTGGGGTGTAGCTCAGTGGTAGACTATTGCCCAGTGTACTCAAGGCCTTGGGTTCAATCCCCAGCACTGGGGAAAATGGATACAAGTAACACTGCACTATTGTAGTTAATTTTGTTTGTTTGTTTATCCTAAATGGGGATTTAGGCTAGTGTTTTTCAAGAGTGTTGAATTTTGCCAGTTAGACTACTATGCTTTGAAAGTCATATCCTGAAACATCTAAAAATGAATTTTGGAAGGTGGAAGGACTCCTAAATAAAGTTTGTTAGAACCACGTGAACCACTGGTTGCAGGCAGCAGGACAAACTTTGTTTTGAAGGTGAACTGTATCCTATTTATTTCCACTGCTTATAATAATTCCCATGGTTTCCTGAATATTTACTCCATATGGAGCAGTATTCTAAGTGCTTTACAAGCATTTAAACTTTATTCTATCTAGAAAATAAAACAGTAGTTACCAGTGGTAAAGGGAGAGGAGTGTGGGGAGATGTGGGTCAGAGGACAGAAAGCAGCAGACACGTAGGATGAAAAAGTGCAAAGATGGAATGCATAATACAAGGGTTATGGGTAATGAAATTGTACTGTATTCAGGATCCATGATAAATGAGTAGATTTTAGCTGCTTTTGCCACCAAAACCAAAACCAAAATGGATGTCTATGTGGGTTGATGGATGTGTTTATTTTGCTATAGTAACCTTTTTACTATCTACATGTACAATGTACATGTACATTTCTTAACATACATAACAAATCTTTAAAAATTATCCCCTTTAATCTTCACAACTCTCTAAGATAGTTAACTTTTTAATTCCCATTTTGTGCACAAGGAATTTCAGTGCTAAAATGTCAGGTAACTTAGTCAGGGTCACCTAGCTATTAATGGAGTTCAAATTTGAACTGAGACCATCTAAATTCACAACTTACATTCTTAATCTCCATGTCACACTGCCTCTCTCAAAAACTGAGGTAATTGAAAATATGTATGTATACAGGTATATGTACACACACATATACACTCAGTTACATATATGTAATTGTGTATGTATATATGTAGATACATGGATATATGCTGGCTATATCAGAGTCATGATGCATAAGAATTTAAACTGAGTACAGTAGAGTCAGCTGTGACCTACTCTGTTATACTGACACAGTGTACTGAAAATGGTGATATACTCCAAACTTTTCCCACAGGGGTGGCTCAAGTGTTGAATAGACTTGATGGGAAACCTTTTGATGATGCAGATCAACGACTTTTTGAGGTAAGAAAATAAATGTATAAACCAGGATCATTGCAGAGTCACTGATAGTCTCCTGGTCATAGCGTATTCATGTTTGTAAGGATGAATAATTATTAGTCATTATTATATTTGAATGACATGCCAAAATTTAAAGGTAAAGTTAAAAATAGAGGAATAGGTAAGATTTGAATCTCCTCCCCTTTGCGCCAAACAGCTATTGTCTTAACCTTGTCTTGTTCCTGTGTGTTCACAGTCCTAGGCCACTCTTCTAGGTGCATTGTCCTCGCTTTCCCTTCCTTTACAAGTTTCCATTCACTCCAGTCCTCTAGCTGGAGAGGGTGGCCTCAAATGGGCTTCCTGTGGCCTGTTCCAGTAGCTACCATGAAAACCCCATCATTACTTCTCATAGTCAAAGGCACCTCACAGTTTCTTTATTAACTGGTTCCAAATCAATCCTCTTTTCCCCTAACATTAACCTTATGGTCATTTAGTTTCTTTACCAAAATATTTTATGGCCTAGCTACAGAAAGAGGTTGCTTTGGGTTAAATACAATGTAATTACTAAAATCAGTTCCCAAATTAAATAAGTTAATAACACATTTAGCGAGATGTGGTGGTACATACCTCCAGTTATTCCAGAGGCTGAGGCAGGAGGACTACAATTTTGAGGCCAACTGGAGCAATTTAGCAAAACCCTGTCTCAAAATTTTAAAAATTTAAATTGGATTAGGGGTATAGCTCAGTCATAGAAAACTTACCTAGTACATGTGAGGCTGTGAAATCTGTCACCATCACCACAAGCAACAACCACAATCACAACTACAACAAAAACACATTTAAACATACTGTATGTTATAAAATATTATGAAATAATTTCTTCATAATATTAAATTTTATTTTATTTTTTCTGATACTGAAGATTGAACCCAGGGATACTTTACCATTGATCTACCTTCTCAGCCCTTTTTATTTTGAGACAGGGTCTTGCTAAATTGCTAAGGGTTTTGCAAAGTTGCTCCAGCCGAACTCGAACTTGTGACCCTTCTGCCTCAGCCTCCCAAGTCTCTGGTATCACAGGCATGCACCACTGTGCCAGACAAATTGATTTTTTTCTCATGTGCAATGTGAGCTACAGAGTCTTATGTGACATAGTAATTAAGAAGTTTAATCTGAATATTTCCCCAAGGCCCACCTTTGTGTACAATAAAATTATATATTCAGACTCATCCCTGATGACTGCCTACTTTAATATTAGGTTTTACCTATGATTTATTACAATTTTAATTACTGGGCTTTCCCTTTTCTAGGCTTTTGTTATCTTTTGTGGCCTTGGCATCAATAACACCATTATGTATGATCAAGTGAAGAAGTCCTGGGCCAAGCAGTCTGTGGCTCTTGATGTAAGTACAATAATTACATCAAAATCATCAGCTAAAATGCTCTAATTTTATGAAGAAAAAAATTGTTCTTGTTATGGTACTTACTTTCTTCATTTTAAATGATTTATTCATTGGATCTTAATAATTTTGGGGTCATGGGTTCAAATTTGATGGAAGCTAGAGACTCTCTCTAGAGAATACACATATGTGCACAATATTATGTATAATTCCAGGGAGTTCACAGATTCCTTGAAGCCTATCCATATACATCCTATGCTCAGATATAGATTGTAAGTATTAGATTTTTAAAAGTAATAATCCAAAAATAATTTGTTAGTATTTAAAATGTATTATGAATTTATACTTGAATATATATTGATATTCTGAAAAGCCATAGCTCTTCTTATCAAAGGAGAAAAACTTCATTCTGAAGATGTGTGACCCAGATGCTCATCTCATTATCCCACTACTTCTTCTCTCCAAGTACATACACATCCCACTGAGAATACCAACCTGTCCCCCGTGCCAACACTGAATGTCCTCTCAGACTGTTAAGGGCTAAAAGAACAGTTCTTGCCAGGCACAGTGGCATATATATAATCCCAGCAATTTGGGAGCCTGAGGTAGGAGCATTGAAAGTTCAAAGCCAGCCTCAGAAACTTAGCAAGACCCTCCCTGTCTCAAATTGTGGCTCAGGGGTAGAGCCCTTGCCTAGCATGTGTGAGACACTGGGTTTGATTCTCAGCACTGCATATAAATAAATAAACAAAATAAAGAAAAAAAAGAATTATTTTAAAAACATTTTTAAAAATATAAAAAGGACTGGGAAGGTAGCTCAATGGTAGAGCACTGTAAGGTTCAATCCCCAAGAAAGAAAGAAAAAAAAAGTTCTCATATGAATCTCAGGTGCTTGTTTGTTTGTTTAATATTTATTTTTTAGTTGTAGTTGGACACAATACCTTTATTTTTTTAATGTGGTGCTGAGGATTGAACCCAGGGCCTCGCACGTGCTAGGCAAGCACTCTATTGCTGAGCCACAACCCCAAGCCCTCAGGAGCTTGTTTTGATTCAAGATCTATTTTTTTTTCCAGCATTACTCTGTAGATAGTACTGAAGATTTTGTTTTTATATATGAAATACTTATTAAGTAGGGCAGATAAAATGTCAGTGCCAAGATAACAGCACTCAGAACAATATGATATAAGACACTGCAGTCTTCAAAATATTCTGCAATTTGGTAGAAAGACAAAACCAAGGAAGTGTAAGTAGACAAATTGATGCTACCTACAGGACTCTGGCTTGAGATTTAAAAGACATAAAATTATAGTTATCTAACCTACCTATATGCTTTTTTTCTTCTGGCCAGACTGTGAATTCTGGAGGCGGAGATTTTTATCTTTTGTGCTTTTATTTGCAGTGCATAGCAGAGTGCTTAGCACAGAGAAGGGATTTACTGAGTAGTTTTTGACTGGAGGAAAGGAGGGAAAGAAGGCTGAAGGGAAGTGTGATGTAAGGAATTTTGTTGTTGTTTTTGTTCCCCTGAGGTAGCTTTGCTCTGTTAATATATGGCATGTTTACAGTAAGGACTAGAAGTAGTACATGATGGATTAATAAATGGGCAGACTGTAAACATGCAACCCACAGGTAAGAATCACTAGTGGAGTATTAAGATCTGTGTATACAACTTTTTTTTTTCAAATTGTGGCTCTGTTATTTTGCTCAGTTTGAGATTAAATGATAAGATGCATGCAAAGGTTCTCATGAGCAGTCAGTGAATTACAGCAACAATAATAAGCGTTATATTTTAAATTGTAGTAGTATATTTATTACTGAAAAATCACCATGGATTTGGGAAAAGAGCAAAGAACAGGAATTTTAAACAGCAAATGTTGAGTTGTGCGCCCCCCCTTCACTGTCATCAAATTCTGCCTCACCCATTGTTTCTTATTTCATGACACTATAGGAAGAACATTCTATGAAAAGAACATGCAATTAGGCCATTCCATACACTAGTCCCCACTAAAACCTATTTCACTGTGAGATGGCTTCATTAGCATAGGCAGAGAACAACTCATGTATCCCCATAATCTCACTCCTCATATAACTTCCTAGTTTATTTCCTTCCCATTGGGAAGGGACTAGAATAGCTGTTGAAACATGAATGGCCACCTAACCCAAGATGAGAGATTCAGTGAAAAATTCCACTTTTGATGTCATAATTTCCAACTCCCCTCTGACCTCAAGGAGTATACCTAGTATCTCACAGATACCTAGAACCTACAAATTTATCCACCATCCTAAGCCACTGTCTCATGAAGTGCTTATTTGGGTTCGCAGTGAATACCCTCCTGCTTGTATAACTCAGATACCTTCTTTTCTTAGACATAAAGATGATTACTGACACTGTCAAATTTCTGGATCAACTGAGCCTTTTGACAATCTCATCCTTTCAAGAAGTTGACTTATATATGTTGACTGTTTTAGTCAGCTGTTTTGCCACTGTGACTAAAATACCTGACCAGCACAAGTGTAGAGGAGGAAAATTTTATTTAAGGGCTCCTGGTTTCAGAGGTCTCAGTCCATATTCAGCCAGCTCCATCCCCCAGGGGCTCCAGGTGAGGCTTAACATCATAGCAGACAAGTGTGGTAGAGGGAAGCAGCTCACATGATGATCAGAAAGCAGAGAAAGAGGTCTCTACTTACCAAATACAAATATATACCCCAAAGCCATGCCCCCAATTCCCACCTCCTCCAGCCACACCCTATGACTTCACTTGCCACTCAGTTAATCCCCATCAGGGGATTAATTCACTGATTGGGTTAAGACTCTTACAACCCAATCATTTCTCCTCTGAACCTTCTTGCATTGTCTCACATGTGAGCTTGTGGGGGACACCTCACATCCAAACCATACCAATAACTAAAATGTTCTGCAGGCTTTATTTTATGCCAGTGTCATCAGTGGATTCCCAGAGCTTCCATTTGGTTTTCTCCCTCCCATCCTTGAGCAACTATCACCCCACTGGAAGTCAGATTTTTAACTCTAGTGATCAGGTTACATCCACTCTACTCTCTGGCCTCAGAATCCATATGCAAGAGTATCCGGAAGAATTTCTTACCTAAGATCCTTTTTTTTTTCTTTTTAGTTTTTATTTTATTTTCTCCCTTTTTATTGATGCATTATAATTATATGTAACAGTGGGATTTGTTATAATATATTCATACATGCACCCAATAAAACCGTATACTTTCATCAATTTCATTCCCCAGTCCCTCCCCTTTACCTCCCCTCCTTCCCCTGATTCCCCTCTTCTATTCTATTGGTCTCCCTTCTATTTTTTTTTAATTTGTTCTAATTAGTTATACATGCCAGTAGAATGCATTTTGACACATTGTACACAAATGGAACACAACTTCTCATTCCTCTGGCTGTACATGGTGCAGAGTCACACCAATAGTGTACTCAAAAATATATACAGGGTAAACATGTCTGTCTCATTCTACAGTCCTTCCCATCCCCACAGACCCACCCCTCTTATCACTCCCCTCTGCATAATCCAAAGTTCCTTGATTTTTCCCTACCCACCCCCCACTATGGATCAGCATTTGCTTACCAGAGAAAACATTTGGCCTTTAGATTTTGGGGACTGACTTATTTCACTCAGCATGATGTTCTCTTGTTTCATCCATTTACCTGCAAATGCCATAATTTCATTTTTCTTTAAGGCTGAGTAATATCCCATTGTGTATACATGCCACATTTTCTTTATCCATTCATCTGTTGAAGGGCATCTTGGTTGGTTCCATAGTTTAGCCATTGTGAATTGAGCCTATAAACATCAACTACAGGCTGCATCACTGTAGTATGCTGATTTTAAGTCTTTTGGGTATAAACCAAGGAGTGGGATAGCTGGGTTAAATGGTTTTTCCATTCCCAGTTTTCTGAGGAATCTCTATACTGGTTTTCCAAAGTGGTTGAACCAATTTGCAGTCCCACCAGAAATTAACGAATGCACCTTTTTCACCATATCCTCACCAACATTTACTATTGCTTGTATTCTTGATAATTGCCATTATGACTGCAGTGAGATGAAATCTTAGAGTATTTTTTATTCACGTTCTCTAATTGCTAGAGATGATGGACATTTTTCCATATGTTTGTTGATTGATTATATATCTTCTTCTGTGAAGTGTCACAGAGTCACACCAGTAGTGTAATCACAAAAACAGCATGGTATTGGCACCAAAATAGACATGTAGACCAATGATACAAAATAGAAGACACAGAGAAAAACCTATATAAATACAGTTACCTCATACTAGGCAAAGGTGCCAAAATCATACATTGGAGAAATCATAACTTATTCAACAAATGGTGCTAGGAAAACTGGAAATCCATATGTAGCAAAGTGAAATCAAACCACTGTCTCTCACCCTGCACAAAACTCAATTCAAATGGATCAAAGATTTAGGCACTAGAACAGAGACATTGTGCCTAATAGAAGAAAAAGTAGGTCCAAATCTTCATCCTGTCAGCTTAGGACCTGACTTCCTTAACAAGACTCCTAAAAACACAAGAAGTAAAATTAAGAATCAATCAATGGGAGGATTCTATCTAAAATGTTTCTTCTCAGCAAATGAATCAATCAATAATGTGAAGAGAGAGCCTACAGAATGAGAAAAAATCTTTACCACACCCGCCTCAGATTGTTATGGGGCAGACCACTCAGAAAACACACCAAGTCTCAACTTTGTCTGAATTGGAGAGTCTTTGTTAGCTGGACTGTGACTGCTCCCTGCAGGAGCATAACTGTCTCCATAGGGAACAGCCCCGAGAGTTTGAGCATTTCAGGGTTTTAAAGGCAAAAACCACATCTGGGTTGGTGGGACTGCAAGCAAGCAGTGTACAGAAGCTAAATTGAGCCGTTAGTGAGACAATGCATATGAGGCAGTGCATACAACCATATCCTTATTCCACATCCTCATTCTGGGTACATTCAGTACTTCCTATGGGATTTTCT